TAGTCAACCAAGAGAAGAGATCTGGGATAGAGTGCAGGACCCCAAAAAGAGGGGCCATCCAGAGGAGGAAGGAGACAGTAAGTGAAACCTACAAAGAGGGGCTCCATCAGCAGATGGGGAAAGGCCTGCTCCACCCACCCAAGGACAGCAAAGGAGACACTAAAGTGGAAGAGACAAACCCAGGGTCTGGGAAAAATCCATTTCCACAAGACCAACATGAGAACAGGTGTGGAATCCAATAGAGCCAAACAGCTACTAGCAAAGCTGAGGGTCACAGCAGGTTGCCAACCAACCACAAGCTCTCTTGGCTTCTAGCTTTCACATTATCTTATTGTGTTTTTTTTAACCTTTTGTTTCCCTGGAAATTTTCCTTTTGAAAAATTCCAGTCTTGGGCCAACGCGGTGGCTCACATCTATAATCCTAGCACTCTGGGAGGCCAAGGCAGGCAGATCATTTCAGCTCAGGAGTTCAAGACCAGCCTGAGCAAGAGCGAGACCCCGTCTCTACCCAAAAATAGAAAAAATTAGCCGGGCATGGTGGCGCATGTCTGTAGTCCCAGCTACTCGGGAGGCTGAAGCAGCAGGATCACTTGAGCCTAGGAATTTGAGGTTGCTGTGAGCAAGGCTGATGCCACAACTGTCTAGCCGGGGCAACAGAGTGAGATTCTGTCTCAAAAAAAAAGAAAGAAAGAAAAATCCCTGTCTTGTCACAGGCTGCTGTTGTGGGAAGGGGTACGCTCCCTCCATGGCAGCGATAATGCTGGCAGACAACTTTGCAGCATAGAGATCCGCGTGCTCCCTGCTGCCTGTTCTAGTGCCCCATCGGAGGGGGCTTTGGAGGAGGGAAGGTGAGCTGCAGGCAGGGAAGGGCCATGGCAACAAAACCACCTCCAAGGGGGGAGTTTGTATCCTTTGAATCTTACAATGCATTGGATGGTATTCCTCTCATCCTCAAACAGGAGAAACAATTCACCCAGAACATCACTCCTGAAACTTACAAGCATCGAGTTCCAATTACGCCACCAGTAGAAGAAAGAATTCAGGGTACCGAGATGGGGAACAGGAGTGTCCTCTCTGTTTCTGGTGGCCTATAGGCAGACTTACTGATCTCATGATATAGCTACCCAAGGATTGGAGTGACACTGAGGTGGCTCTTCCCTTAATCCTCTTCTCCCCTTTGTCAACCAGATTTGGGGGACAAGGGCTCGCAACTTCTTCCTGCTTCCTACTCCTCATTCTCTCCCCCTCTCCCCATGTCCCTGTATTTGCCCATTGCAAGGCAGAGGGGCAGCTGGCGGAGTTTGTCTCCCAGGAAAGCCTATCATTGTGCAAACCACTGTCTCTGCATCACTTCACCTCCCTATAAGCTGAGGGCCCTATTCTTAGCAAGCAGGGGTGCCCATTGCAAATTTAGCATGCTCAGCTCAGGAAGTGTGACGACAGGGGGAGCAGCAGGCTCTAAATCCTTGATGAAGGAGGTGAAGGTCCCTTGAAGTTGAGGAAAAGTATTTATGACAAAAAAGTAACAGAAGAGACGTAGAGGCAGCGTTGCTATTGCTGTTCCAGTGGATCCGTCTTGCCATCTCTGCATATGTGGCCCAGGCTCAGCCTCGCCCTTCCCTGTCTCTCCTGCTCTTTCCTCCCCTCCTGACAGATGACAAGCCCAGGAGGCCGAGAAGGGTGGAAGTCGGTCTCACAGACCGGGCAGCTGCAGAACTTGTCCTGGAAGGGGCAGAGGAAGGTGGAGGATTCGTGTCCCCACCTGCCCTCCTGCCACATCTGTTTCTCCCTTTGGAGTGAGTCCTCTCTGGCAACCTGCCTTCACCCTCAGCTCCTCAAAACCTCCTGGGGACCCTCAGACCCGTCGCTACTTCCCAGTGGCAGGAGGGAAGAACTCGGGGAAGGTCCATGGTTTCAGGGGATAATTAGCTCCTGGCCTGCCAGTCACCCCGCTCCTCCTGGACATCACCCACATCCAGAGTCACCAAGACAAGGGCATCACACAGGAAAGTCATCCACCCTCCCACGCTGAAAACCTGCTCTCTGTTGTGGACATACTTCCCACACATCAGGAGGGTTTCACTGAAGTGAGTACTATAAAGGGTGAAGGCCATTTTCTGAAGCCCCAGAAAACCCTGGGCCCTTCGTAAACATCCTCAGTGTTTTGTTAGAATCATCTCAGGGGGGAGTAGGAGCAGAAAGAGACACCCTTAGATGACTTAAAGAATCAGCTTGTGACATTCCCTCTCCCTCGGTATTCCCTGTCACATTCAGTGGCCTCTGTCACCACTGTCTATTTCCTCTTCTCGTCTCTGACGGTGCCCATGGCCCTCTCTGACTGTCTGATCTCCCTCTTGGGGGAGGCGAGAGTACCTTTCCACACCAGCAGCAGGGGGCTTCAGGCCCTGCTCAGTAGCTGTGTCCTTACTCAGGCCCCACTTCCCTCCCAGCCTCTTGCCTGGGTCCTTCCTCAGTTTGCCAGAAGCACTTCTAGTCACTGACTGTGAGCAAACCACCCAAGGTCATCAGAAACTAGCCCTCACGGAGGGCCAGTCCGCTGCTTCCCCACCCCAGTGCTCCATCAGACACTCCACTCTGAGGCCAACAGCCTCTATCATGACGCTCTATCACCACCTTACTGCCCCGGCTGCAATGCCACTGTCTTGCCACATCTCAGCATGCTAAACAAGGAGGCTCATTCCACTCCTCTCTAATTGCTTGTCTAGCCCTTGCTCCACGGAGATGAAAAATGACAGCAGCTTCCAGAAGCCGACTTCTTAGCCTTGGCTTGCACGGGTGCCCTCCTGCCTCTCTCATTAGCCCCCCGCCCCCCGATCTGAACCCCATGAGGAACACCATCAGGAGTCGCCTGTGAGCCTCAGAAAGATTCTGAAGGGTTTCCATAAAAAGAGTATAAAAGTTAGTAAATATAATGCTTTCTAGAATCTTGGAAGACTCCATACATTTTCTTCATAAATTAATAGAAATATATTCAGTGGAAATGGAAATAGAAGACTTTGAAGACTTGGCAACTAAGCCAACTGGCTCGGTTCAGGGCTGTCTCTCTCGACTCTGTCTCCACCTTTCTCAGTCCTCCCAGCCGAGTCTCTGTCAGCTCCTCGGTATCTCCTCCTATCTCTTGCTGGCCTACCCTATCTCCCTCTCTCCTCTCTTGTTTCCCCCACAAACATTACAGACCAGGCTTCCTTAGCTCAGGTAGGTTAATCCAGGTGGCTTTGCGCTTCAATTGTTGCTAAAAGTGAACTTGTTGGTTTCCTACCCCTCCACAGATCCGTATTAAGTGTCATTTGGGGACTCAAAAGCATTCTTTGGTCTTCCCCAACATCACTTTCTCTGAGCTACCTCAGAGCTGCCCACTCTGCAGCCCCTCCCAACAAATGCCTCTCACACAATGACTTAGTGACAGGCAACACAAACTAGTGAGGGTAGGAGTATTCAGGAGCCTAAGTCGATACACACCTTCCCTGTCAAATAGAAATTGGTTTCCTTGTCTCAGGGCCTCTTGGGGGAGTCTTCTCCTCTAGGCCCTCGAAGACCAGTGGCCCCTGAGTAAGTTGACACTTGTGACAATGGCTGAAGGGAATTCCCAATGGAGTCATGAACCTTACCACCACTCCCTTTTCCCAGGAGAGGCAAATAGATGGGGTTCCTCCCCACCACCCCACCCCAGCAACCATGACAGCTGTTAGGTATAAAGTACACAAGTTCACCCAAGTGCCTCCCCACACCACATCCCATTCTCATTCTCATCTGTACCCTCCTCTTTCACCTTACTTCCAACATGCCCCATTTATGGGAGGCTTGGGAAGGACAGTCTCTCCCCAATTCTACTTCCCGTCTTTGGGTTCGCAGCTCCAGCGCATACCAACACCCTCACTCTTTAGTTCAGTCCTACCCTCTCATTCCTCATTGTAGAAGTGGCTTCTGCAATTCTCATAATCCCAGGAGGAGACAAGGAGGCAACTGGAATGGCCTGTTTGCCTGACTCTTACTTCTCTACTCACTGCCTATTCCATTTGAACTACTAGGCTAGAGCAGCCCCTGCCCCACCCCTCCAAGAGGAGTGATGATGATAATAATAATAGCTAGCACTTACTGAGTGACAACTATATACCAAGCACATTTTTGCTCAGCTTTTCTGGGATTCTAGCTCTAAGTTCCTGTAACACTTTCTTTCCCTTCTCACACTTTCCATCTCTTAACTCCCTGTCTCATCTCTTGTCATCTCTGACTCCTTCTAAACAGTTTTATCCTGACCCACTGCCATTCCTCCAGAGGCCACATCTTCTCAGGCTAGACCCTTCAAAGATGGGCCACCCCATTTCTGTGCTCCAATCACCCCCACCTACTCTAAGGGATCATCTCATGATCCACATCTTCCCTTTCACCACCCAAGCCAGCTCTTACTGAGACGCCTTACAGAGAGGCCATTTCCCCGGGCAAGGTTACCACAACCATTGCCCCACTGCCAGTGTGGCCTCCAGCAGTGACCCATCATTTCACCCAGGTCCCAGAACCTATCCAGGCCCCAGGAAGGGCCTTAGCATTCTACACAGTCTACAAAAGCTGCAATAAGCGCCTTTCACTTCAGCCTACGGAGCACTAAGTCCTCTGTGTCCCATCCCCGCCACCCACTCACTTTCCACCAACTTCTTAACAAAGCTAAAGCCCCTTTATTAAGTGACTCATTCAACAGGACACGCCCATATTCTGTTGAAGGGTTCATTTGTACTTTTAGGCCCCAAAATGTGTTCCTTTTTTGAGGTAAAAAAAATTTGCCTTTCACCCTTTACTACATGGACGCTGAAATTTGAGTACGAAAAATGGCTGAACTGAGGTTGAATTTTAAAAAACCGTTACCCCAGAATCTCGCGATAAGAGAATTGGCTGGTAACTGCTGTGGCTCTTCCAAGCTTCATCCTTCACTGGGTTATTTACCTGTCAATCATTTCTGCTGGGCCAATGAGCAGCACCACCCTGACAAGGCGTAGAGGTTGGAGGGCAAGCCAACGGTTCCCGACTATTTGAGCCAGTGGGCAAGGTCTAGCTCTTCAGACCTCTTGCTCTCCCTGCTAGGATCTGTGCGTCATGGGCAGGTGGTCGTGGAGAGGGGATGGTAGAGTAAGGGAAAAGGCTTAGAACTAACTCATGTTGGGTTTTAGTAATAGTAAGAGTATCAGGAAAGCCGTACTGGCTGGATTCTGCTCCTGCCCTTGCCGTTCCCTTGACTGCGTAACTCTGGACAAGTCTCTTCCTTATCCTGGGGCTCAGTTTTTCCTAAGGAGAGGGTTGATTCCTCCGATCTCTTGAACTCCTTTTCTTTTTGATATTTGGGAAGGCACCGCGCCTCAAGAAGGGGAGAACCCAGTTTAACCACAGGCCAGTTAAACGGGCACGGGCACGTAAAGGAAGGGACCTAACCACTCCCCCATGCAGAGCCAAGAGAGCAAGCTCAAAAGGAAGGAAGGAGAGACACTCTTTTGCCTCAGGGAGAACTTGGGGGTGGGGTGGGGGACTAGGAGCAGGGGTTTTGCTCACCAGAAGGCCCTTTGAGTGTGGGCTCATAAGATAGAGGAAGCATTTTGGCCTAGTATCTACTAAAACAGGGTTAAGGGGCAAAAAAAGAAACCACTGTAAAGATTGACGAATCCTCTCTAACCCATCTGTGGGTTGTTTTGTTTCTTTCCTGTAGTTTCCTGATGAAAGGTCCTTTTGAAATGTTCATTCTCTTCTCACCAAGTTGAACAGGGCTCTGTTCCCACAGCAGGTGTAAGCTCCCTGCATTTGCTGCCTTCTCTGTTTTCTTAACCAACACTACAACCCCATTCACGTGCTTGGGAAGCTGACAATGACTGTTGGGCCTTTGCAATGGATCCACCAGTGGGCCATTTCCTACAGCCCAGGGGGAGACAGAATAATTGGCAGCAACTCCTGCAGCCTTGGTGGAGGAAAGAATAATTGGCAGCTAAAGGTGAGTGTGAGTGAGAAGGGTGGGACTCTCCTATCCTCAGCCCTCCCCCTCCTTTCCTTTTCCCATATTCTTCTCCCCAGCCCTCCCCCTCCTTACTCTAACCTAAACCACTCCAATTCCTGTTTTCCACGCCCTCCCCAGAATTTCGGAGGGTAAGGGGTCTGAAGGAGTCCTCAGGAAGGACTGTTCCCCACCACTAGCTCTTCATTGCCTACTCCACTGAGAAGTAATCAGCTCCCAGAAAGTTTGAGAAATTGCTTTTCAGCAAGAGGGCACCAAATCAGTTTAGAGGCGTGATCTGCAGTGAGGACAGTTGGCAAACACCATTTCTCTGACCCATGGGAATACCTGAATGCTTGACCTTGGCCCTTGTGAGTTGGAGCTGTGAACGTGTAGTTTGTCAAGACCCAGAAGTACCTCTTGCTACTTAAGTGTCCACTGAAAAGATTCTTCTTCTCAAACCATCCACCATTCCCCACTGACTTTTTTACTCTCTTTCTCCTTTTTCTCACTTTCACTGTCTCTTTTGTTGTGTCTTTCTCTCTGGTTTGATTGATTTGTTTTCTCAGACCAAACAGGAACCTGGACAAGATGTGGTGATGGTCACAGCCCAGAGGAGGAGCTTTAACCTGAGCACCAGCCACAGGAGGCAGACCACCTTCTCTGCCCCAGTGAGAGTGAATGTAGGCCCCCACCCCAGGGCCTCAAATGCTTTCTCGGTCATCCCCTAGGTACTAGGTTTGTTCTCCAGGCCTACTACAGGTGCCCCCCCCCAACCCAACACCCCCAGTGATTAGAACTGTTAGGTAGTGTGAACTAAAATAAAATCTTAAGGTTCACTCCCCACCCACTAACTGAATGGACCCCCTCGTGGCCAAAGGGATATCCCAAAACTAAATTGCCTGCCAGGAGGAGACACGCCTCATCATGCCCCCCTCCCTTCTTGGAGACATCCTTTGCAACCCATTAGCAGCCCTAAGGGTATGCAAGACACACCTGTAGGTCCTCAATTTATACAACAAATCAATGTCTGGTGGCTTATCTCTGATAAACAATTTATGTTAAAACATTCCAAGCACTTAGACAAAGCTTCATGTCTTTAACCAATTACAAGTCAAAGAATCTTTAAACCCACCTATATATCCTGTAAGCACCCCCCCATTTTCGAGAAGGCCCACCCTTTTGGGCCAAACCAATTTATGCCTCCCACGTATTCATTTATGACTTTACTTATAACCCTTGTCTCCCTGAATTGTATAAAACCGAACTGTGACCCAGCCACACCGAGTCCACTTGCTCAAGGCTTCTAGGGAATGGCTCTGGGTCGTGGTCCCCAAATTTGTCTCAGAGTAAATCTCTTTAAAATTATTTTACAGAGTTTGGTCTTTTTTTCCATTGACAATAGCAAGGGATTCCAGGTCTCCTAGGGATGCAAGTGAGTGACTTGCCTTGGTGCAATTGCCCCACCTGGGAAGAAAGACAAAGGTGGGCCCCAGGCCCCCATCTTGGTCCTGCCCTTAATCCTTAATCCCACTTTAATCCTGCCCTGAATTATGGCCATACCTGGGGTAGGAGGGAATACCCTGCAAATCTGCCAGTCAGAACTTAGTGCACCAACTGCAAAAGAATTCAGAGGACTCTCTTAGCCCACAGGCCAACCAGCATAGGTACCATAGACTCCAGAAATTGACCTAGAACAATGTACATGCATAGTCTAAGACTCAGGTCATGCAATTCCGAACTATCCAAAGTGGTTCCATGGTGATGTCTCAGCCACAGGGAGGTCCCAATCCAAGCACTATAAAACAAAGTGCAGACCATAACCAAGCCCTTTTGCTCTCCCTTTGCTGTGACAGTGGATCCCGTCTTCTGTGGTGTATGTATCATACTCTGTGAACCTATATCTTGCTCTTGCTCTGTAATCCTGTCTTCTCAATAAACCTCATTTTTGTGCTCGCCTTACTTTGGTGCATCTGGTCCTTCTTCGGCTATGAGCTCACTAAGAACTGATATTTCAGACTGAAACCTGGGACATAACCACTGACCCGTGCCTCCCATGCCTGCCCCCATGACAGGCCCCTACAGAAGCCAAATATAGTCACCTTAGACCAGGAATGGGGAACTTTTTCATGTTGGAAGGCTGCTTTAATTTAGGTGTTATCAAATAAGGCCACATTCAAGAAACTTCAATTAGATATACTTTTAAAATGTACATTATTTTGTAAAAATCTAACTACTGTGCACTTAATAATTTCAAAAACAAAAACTATTTGTTAATTTTAAAGTCAACTAACCTTTTAATGACTTTGTTATGTCTGCTTTTTGTTGGAAAGAATTTGAATATTTGGTTGCAGCATGGAGCTCTGTAGTTTCCGCTGATTCTCTAGATGGGTATCAGTCATTTTTGACCTTAAGGTCATCTTGATTTGGGTTAGGTAGGAGAATGTACACTCGCAACAATAAATGGTTGAAAAGCAAGAAAGCATTTTTTGGACATGTTGCTGAAGGCATGGGTATTCTACTGCATTTTTCCATATTTCAATTGGATCTTTCTTAGAATTAAACAATGACTTTATTTTTTTTATTTTTTATTTTAATTTTTATTTTTTTATTTTTTCTTTTTTTGAGACAGAGTCTCGCTTTGTTGCCCAGGCTACAGTGAGTGCTGTGGCGTCAGCCTAGCTCACAGCAACCTCAAACTCCTGGGCTCAAGCGATCCTTCTGCCTCAGCCTCCTGAGTAACTGGGACTACAGGCATGCACCACCATGCCCGGCTAATTTTTTCTATATATATTAGTTGGCCAATTAATTTCTATTTATAGTAGAGACGGGGTCTCACTCTTGCTCAGGCTGGTTTCGAACTCCTGACCTCGAGCAATCCTCCCACCTCAGCTTCCCAGAGTGCTAGGATTACAGGCGTGACTCACTGCGCCCGGCCCGGCCTAAACAATGACTTTAAAATGTCATCTACTGAGAGCTCAATCCCATCTGTAGTTCTTTAGGTGCCTTGGTGATATCAACTAGGTGAGGCTGAAATGCCAATTTGAGTGTGATGTCATGATTCTCACAGTCAGTGAACCTTTCACTGTATTCTCTAATTAATAGGTCTATAATGGCTTCATATTCTTCAAATGATTCGTATATATCATTCTGCTCATCAATGACCTTTGCTAACTGGGAGAAATGTTCCATCTGATATTTCCTTTTGAAAAAGAAATGCTTTCAAAAAAGATCTGTTTTTCAAAATGCTTGGATTTTTTTGCCACCTATCATATATGGACTTAGCTTTACCTTGCAAAGAAATATTGATTGACCATATCACACAGAAATACTGCATTCCTATAGAATCTTCTTTCAATAATTCACATTGCTGATTCTGTTCTTTATAAAATTTAACTATCTATCTGTTCTCACAAAGATAAAATTTTCGCTAATACCTGTCCCTATGATAGCCAACGCACTTGAGAATGTGATATGGCAAATCCACACTGAGTTCCTCATCTTTCGAGTTTGGGTTGTTATAAAACTGACACAATGTTGCATTTGCACAAATATAGTTAACAATACTTACAACTTTTTTGCAAAGTGTCACTTGAAATAGTAGCTTTAGCACAGATTTTGTTGATGCAAGATACAATAAAAAGAAATGAGAGCATCTGGATCTGTTAATACTTTTTTATCTGTTCAATAAATCCTTCAAGCTTTCCTGCCATGGAAGGTGCACCATCTGTACATACACTCAATAAATTTACCAAATTCAATCCAACTTCAAGACATGTATCTTGAAAGTTGTTGAAGATACTTATTCCCCGTGTTCTGTTCACAAGAGTGCCCAAAACTCTTAGTAGCAATGAAAATCTTCTGTTATGACCTGAATAAAGTATAAAACCTGTGCCACGTCAGTAGTAACAGTTGATTAATCCAAAATTATTAAATAATATATATTTTCCTTTTGAAGTATTGCATGAAGTTGTTCTGTTCAGTTGAAGGCTAATTAATGCTGCCAATCAGTTATGGTTCTTGAAAGAGGCAGTTGTTTGTACTTTGAAACATCAGGGTCTAAGCATCCTACAACTTGGACAAAGCATTCTTTCACAATTTCCACATCACTGAATGGCTTTCATTTCCCCCACCCCCCAGTATATAAGCTACTTTGTAAATTGCTTCAATAGTATTATTTCCAGGTCTTATTTGTGCTTGAAAGAATTGTCTTTACTTTTTGTTTTTCATTTTTTAATTTCTGCAATATAGCCTTTTTTGCCTCTCCCTCTAATTTAAAATATTTGTGGTCTTCATGAGTGTTATAATGCTAACGAGCATTGAATTTCACAAGCAAATCCTCTTATCTTCAGCAGAAACAAGATAATATTGCAATTCCCAACCCTCATTAAGAAATCTATTTTCTTCCTTCAGTGTTCTCTTGGTCTTCTTTAACATGATGGGCTACTAAGCAGACAGAATGAAAAAATACCATGGAGCTGTGCAACTATTACAAATTCCACTTCAAACAGAAACACAGTGCCCCGTTGTCAAAAGCTGATAACAGACTGGCGTACTCAACCCCCATAAACTCTCACCAACCAGCCTCGTGCAGTAATGGCACCAGTCAGGTAGGGGAAGTTAGAACTAAATCATGAACATAGCAGCCATCAGTTTAGCCCTTATGGCTTATGGCCCTTATGGCTTATTAATGTTCTAATTGTGCTGGTCAATCTGGAAGGATTATTATTACGTTGACATTTGATTTGTTCTTTGGTATTTTAAATACATTCATTTTAAAAATAAAATAATATAAGAGACAAACAAAGATGTATTTTTAAAAAAGGATTCTGAAAAATTTGGATTCAGTCAAAAGGCCACACTTAAGGATGTAGAAGGCCACATGAAACCTTAAGGCCACAGGTTCCCCACCCCTGCCTTAGACTCTGGCATAATGAGCCCAGGGTCTGAGCCTGGCCCTCTCACCTGTCTGCCAACTTATTATTTATAAAAATGAGTATTCCTGTATCCAAAGTACAATATCTTTATTGTTTCAGAATGTAGCACCAGATTGCATTCACCTTTCTTTCTCCTCCTTTCCCCCATTGTATCCTTGCTGTGACCACAACAACAGGGAGAAGCTGAGCATAAAGGTAAAGTTGGGGAAAGTGTGACAATGTCCATTTCTCAGTAGAGAGCAACAGTGAATTATGCTACACACTGAAGGGCAGGGTGTTTGGGAACACATATGTCCCTGTTCCTCCCAACTAAAAAAACGATTTCCCTGGGCACAGTCTACAGCACTCAGTTGGGGAGCATTTCCCCTACTCTGTTAGGATATGACGTATTTACATGTAAGAAGATTCTTTGTGTTATTTATAATAATAAAAGCCCTAAAATAGTTATATTTGGGCTGGTTCATATAGTGAACTATTATACAGTTGTCACAATAAAAATGCATTTGAAGACTTTTCCTGTATGTGCAGTGTGTTCATAACCTTATAAAGTATCTACATGCATAGGAACTTACCAAAAAAAGAGACACCAAAAATTCCAGAAATTGCAATTATTGATTTTTACTTTTTTTAAATTTTCTATAGTGAACATGTATTATAATCAGGAAGAAAACTCCAAATTATAAAAGTAATTGGGTCTTTCCTCTTGAAAAGGAAGAAGGAATTGTAACTGACTTCGTTGAGAGAGATGTCAGGGCTAGCAGTGCCTGACATTGTCAACTCAGGCCAGTAGAGTCGGAAGGCTCTCATGGGAGCCAGGTGCTACAGTCCTGCCAATTGTCAGGAAGGGACAGATTTAGATCTGGTGGAGGACAAGACAGTCTGTTCCTCCCTTCCCTCATTCCACTCGCTTTTCCTTTCTTTTACATGTTCTTTGTGCTGTCATGGCAA